CCTCAGAAGGCTTTTAGGACCAAATAGTAGGCTCTTGTGTCCAAGAGAAAACGAATATACTTACCAGTAATGTAAATGCTCACCCACAGCTCTTCTGGGAGAAAGGACTGTTTTTAAGCAAGAAATACAATCTACCTCATTGTTCAATGTCGCTGCTTAAGCTCCAGCCGTTATATCTTAGTTTCAAATACACAGAAGGAGGCAGTTGAGTAGATAAAAAGTGGCATACTCACTTGCTTTTTTTTTTTTACTCACTTGCTTCTTAATAAGGAATCTGCTTAGAAGTTATAGCTCACAATTTCTTACATTTCATTAGTTAGAACTGAGTCACATGGAACTTAGCTACTAGGAAAGGCTCAAGTATGCTACTTTTTCCAGATGGTCATGCAGCCCCTTTGAATAATGGAATTTCACTATTAAGGAGGAATGCATAGATATGCAGATAACTGTTTACTGCAGATTAGATAGCATTGAGAGAGTGATGAGTTTCTCTTAAGCCATTCCAGATATGAAAAGAGCTCTCTTAGGTGTACATTTTGGGGATAGGTGTCTAGCTTCAAGCAGCAAACTTTTATACAGATACACTCCTAAATGGGAAGCAAAGGATAAAGCAGTATCTTGTATCAAGACTCCTGTATTAGTATAACTCCTGTATTAGTATAGATAGGTTCTGTTTCTTGAACTGGAATTCCATTGGTTTGAAACAACCAGCGGCTCCAATATAGCCAGTCTCCTCCCATCTTTATAGCTTTAAAACCTGAAAAAAAGTCTCCCTGGGATGGCGTCCACTCAATGACAGTGTTTTTAGGCTGAGGGTAGGGGCAGGGGACAGGTTGACCACCTCACTTTCTCAGCTCTGTTTCAGCTGTGTGCTCTCAATTCTCCCACTACTTATGTGCTTCATAAATCCTTGATAGCTAGTGTGTGTTTCTTCCTTTATTTCTTAACTGAGAGGCTGGCCCAAGTGGGGTAAAGATTCCTTGTGTAACTAGCTTTAGTCTTTGATTGTTGCAGTTCTAAATTGGGTAATGTGGTTAATGCAGTGAGTGGTGGTGATTGCATTTGAAGCTTGGTGCCTGTGGTTGCAAAGTTAGTAGGAAATTACAAGGTAGTCTGCAGAAGGAGAAAAATGAGATTGAGATTCAGTGTGGAAAGAATTAAAAAACTGGAAATAAAGGCACTCTTGAATCTCATTAACCTCTAGTTCTACTGAGGAAGAAGGAGGTCAAAGAAGCATTAAAGGAGATAAAGAGACATATCCAACACTGTAGGAAAAATATCTAGGACAAATGAGACATTCTGAGGGGAAATGATGTGGAGATTTATATTTCAGGAAAGACTTGAGAAGCTTATCAGCCAAGTGTGAATATATAGAGCTTATATTAAAAAATCCCAAAAACACAACCCAACAAAACCCAAAATCATTGCCACTGAGTCAGTTCCAACTCATAGTGACCCTAGAGGATCCTAACAGTTGAGGGAGATGTTTTCACTAACTGAATTATTTGATGATATTAAAGATTATGATGTGATAATGGTATCGTGGTCATAAATATATTCTAAGTCCTCATCTTTTAGAGGGAACTCTGGTGGCCTAGTCCATAGGGAGATGCACTGCTAACCCAAAGGCCATGTCTCTTTGACAGTTCAAATCCACCATCAGCTTCAAGAGAGAAAGATGGATGATCTCTTCTTGTGCAGCCTTGGAAACTTAATGGAGGGTCAGCTGTGAGTTAGTTCTGAAGCAAAGGCAATGAGTTATCTTTTACAGATAATGAAATCCTTAAAGATGAAATGTTAGAATGTCTGGATTTTCTTAGGACTAATTTTTGTTTGGGGGATGGGGCAGAGTATGGATGAAACAATACGACCATGTGTGGATAATTGTTGGAGTACATTTGGAACTCAGCAAAGTTCTCAGCTTCCTTAGTTGTGTTAACACGTGTTAACACCATCATTACTGTCATAATACTGTAAAGTTGGAATGGACTCACTGACCCTCCGGTGGGTTTTTAGAGCCTGTAAATTGCACAGGAGAAGATTGCCCATTTTTCACCCTCACAACAGCCAGTGGATTCAAACCAGGTGCCTTTAACTTGGCAGCACAGTTTCTTACCCACTAGGCTGTGAGAGCTAACATCCATAGACACTAATAATCTGAAAATGGTCCCATAGTGAGATGAGAGATTTGACTCATACCAAGCCCTTTCTGGAATGCTTTTGGTTGCCCTGGAAACTCAGGAATGGAGGTTATGGGCTGGTGTACCTCTCTTAGATTGCATATTAAATCACTGAGGACTTCTTGAAAATAGTAATGCTGAGGCCACATCTAAGACCATGGATGTCAGATCTCAGGGTGGAAGGGAAAACCAGACACCAGCTTCCCCCCTTGCCCTTTTAAATATCCCAGTGATTTCGGTATACAGTCAATAAATCCACATGGGTGGCGGGTGGCCAGTGTGGAAAACACACAGTGGGTGGCACAGGCGTGTAGTTTTGAGTCTTTTTCTGGTAAAACTTAATCGCTAATATTTCTGCCCTCTTTTGGTTTCTGTTTTAGGAAAATTATGAACAGATGAAAGCACTAGTAAATCAGCTCCATGAACGAGCACAGCACATAAGACTAGGTAAACACAGCATTTATTCTGTGGTTTTTAACTTTTAAAAATGGTCTTTTTTTTTTCTTTAATTATTTCTTAATTATAGTTTGTAGAAAAAATGCATAGCATTAAATTTATGGCTCTTCAAGACTATGCACTTGCTGTTAAGTAGGCATTTTACTTCAGTTTTTCTCCCCCTTTACTGTCTATTTGTGTTTCATTGATTATGCAAAGGCGTTTGACTGTGTGGACACAACATACTGTGGCTAACTCTGAGAAGAGGGGGAATCCTAGAACACTTAATTGTGCTACTGTGAAACCTATACTTGGACAAGGAAGCAGGCGTCAGAACAGAGCAAGGAAACACTGCATGGTCCAAAATTGGGAAGGGTGTATGGCAGGGATGTATCCTGTCTCCATACCTTTTCGATCTTTATGCAGAACGGATTATCTGGGAGGCTGGGCTCTATGAGGAGAAATGTGGCATCAGGATTGGAGGAAGATATATCAACAATCTGCCTTATGAAGATGAGGTAACCCTGCTTGCTGAAATTGAGGAGGACCTGAAGTGCTTGCTGTAGAAGGTCAGGGACTGCAGCCTTCAGTATGGATTGAGGCAAAGATTCTCGCCACTGGGCCGATTGGCAACATCATGGTGGATGGTGGAGAGATTGAGATTGTTTACAGCTGTAGTTTGCTTGGCTCCACAATCAACACTCTTGGCACCAGCGACCAGGAAATTAAAAGATGTATTGTGATGGGAAAGTCTGCAGTTAGAGAGCTCTCTAAAGTACTGAAGAAGCAACGATGTCAGTCTGGAGACTAAGGTGTGCCTGATCCAGGTCATGGTCTTTGCAGTCACTTGCTATGCATCAGAGAGCTGGACAGTGACTAGGGATGATAGAACGAGAATTGATGCCTTTGAGCTGTGGTGTTGGAGAAGAGTATTGAGTATACCATGGATTGCTAAGAGAACAAACAGGCTTGTCCTGGAGAGGGTGAAGCCAGGCTGCTCCTTGGAGGAAAGGATTCTGAAGCTTGGTCTGACATACTTTGGACATGTTGTAAGGAGGGACCAGTCCTTAGAGAGGGTGGAGGGACAGTGCAGGAGAGGAAAACCCTTGATGAGATGAATTGATTCAGTCACTGGGGTAATGGGGATAGGTGTGTCAGAGACAAGGATATTGGCACAGGATAGAGCAGGGTTTAGGGCTGTTGTACATAGGGCCACTATGAGTCACAGGCGACTCGACGGCATATAACAGCAACAACAACAACAACAACATTACTGTCTTAGTTTTTCCAGCTTTATAGTCTTGTCGCTGTTTGAAAGGAATTAGAAATTTATCAGAATTTAAATATTTTAACTAAAGTGTTATTTTAACTGTAGCTCATATTTTTCTCCACTTGTCATTGTGTTATGTGCCATTGAGTCACCAGCAACTCGTAGTGGCTTTATGTACAATAGCTCTGAACTCTGCCCTTTCCTGCCATTCTCACTGTCCCTAATACACCACCCCTACTACCCTGGTTACCGTGTCCCTCTACCCTTTCAGGGATGATGTCCTTCTCCAGGCACTGTTCCCTCCTGGAAACATGCCCAAAGTATGTAAGATGGAGCAGCCTGCTTTCACCGTCTCTAGGGTAAATATGTTTATTCTCTTGGCAGTCCATGGTATGTTCAGTACTCTAGCACCACAACTCAAAGGCATCAGTTCTTCTGTCATCTTTGGTCATTGTCCAGTTCTTTGATGCATACCAAGTAACTGCAAAGACTGCGGCCTTGATCAGGTGCACTTTAGACTCCAAACTGATATTGTTCTTCAGCACTTTTAAGAAATCATTGACAGCAACCTTCCCCAGAGCAAATTGTCTTTTAATTTCTTGACTCCTGGTGCCAAGAGTGTTGATTATGGAGCAGAGCACACTGAAATTGTTAACAACCTCAGTCGCTTCTCCATTCTGTCGTGGTGCTGCCAGTTGATCCAGTGGTGAGAATCTTCATCTTTCTTAAAGGAATGAAAATAATTCCTGTTCATAATCCGCATTCATACTATATATACTAAACTTTGTGCAATTATGCATTTTCTACTGTGTTAGATAAGAGACCCTGGTAGTGTAGTGCATTATGTGTTGTGTTACTGAATAAGGACTGGCAATTTGACTCCACAAAGTACTCTAAGAAAAGAAGGATGGGCAGTTGCCTTCCATTTTATATCAGAAACTTGATGGAGGGTAGCTGTCAGTTGGAACTGACTTGATAGCAGTGGCTTTGTTTTTTTATATGTGTTATGTAGCTTGGAAGTAAGTTGTTGTTATGTGCTGTCAAGTTGCCTGCGACTCACAGTGACAATACAATACAATACAATACAATACAATACAATACAATACAATAGCTCTGAACTCTGTCCTGTGCTGAGCCAATCTCACTGTCTTTGACATACCAGGCCCTGTTCCCCTAGTCACTGTGTCAATACATCTCATCCAGAGTCTTTGTCTCCTCCCCTCCACCCTTCATGCATGATGTCCTTTTCCAAGGATTGGTCTCTCTTGAGCACATGCCCAAAGTATGTGAAACAGAGCTTAAAAATTATCGCCTCCAAAGAGCCAAGTTGGTTTTATTCTCTCTAGAGCCAGACCTGTTTTGTTCTCTTGGTAACCCACAGTATGTTTAGCACTCTTTTCCAGCACCACAATTCAAAGGCATCTAATACCATCCTTGTTCATTATCTAGCTCTCTGATGCATACCAAGTCACTGTGAAGATCATAGCCTGGATCAGAAAGCCTTTGTAATGGTTATATAGACCTCACAGAACTATGCTTAAAATGATAGGATTTATTAGGAAAGTTACAATCTAAATTAGGACAGCTTCTGAAGCATGCTTTCAGGTCCTTCAGCCTTCATCTTTGAAGCTCTAGAATAGTATTACAAAGCTTTTAGTCTGGCCAATTATGACATCCTCTCAGGTCCCCCAGCAAGCTTGACTGAAGGCCTCTGACTCTGGCTCTGCGGGGCATCAGTCTCAAGGTCAACTGTGTCTCCTTTTAATCTCAGGTTCTTTGCTGAGAAGGTTTCTTTCCTGTAGATCCTGAGTTGATTGGCACAGGAATCTCTGGCCCCAAGGATTAACACTGTGTTGTCTCCTTCTTTTTGCTTGTTGGGAGTGAGATTCCCAATTCCTGGTGCTGACCCTGTTCAGTTTAAATCTAGTAGAATGGCCAGACTGTCACCCACTTCATAGGTAGACTAACACACACTCTATTTGCATGTCTTCATAATTATTTCCTATGCATCAGAAAGCCGGACAATGACTGGAGCTGTTAGAAGGAGAGTTAATGCCTTTAAGCTGTGGTGATGGAGAAAAGTATTGAATATACCATGGACTGCTTGGAGAACCGGGTTGTCCTAGAGAGGGTATGTATAATCAGGCTGCTTTTAGGAGACAAGGATTCTGAAGCTTCATCTGATATACTTTGTACATGTTGCAAGAAGGGACCAGTCCTTGAAGAGGGACATCATGCTTGGGAGGGTGGAGGGACAGCGCGAGAGAGGAATATCCTGCATGAGATGGACTGACTTAGTGACTGGGGTAGTGGGGATAGGTGTGGCAAGAGATGATGGGGTTGGCTCATGATAGAGCAGGGTTCAGAGCTGTTGTATGTAAGGTTGCTATGAGTTGCAAGCAACCTGATGGCACGTAACAACAACAACCTCATCATGTTTGGGAAACATCTTCTTGGTCTAGATATAGATTTGATTGAAGCTCAATTAGGTGTTCTGGAATTCCCATTTTTCTCAAGGTTAACCATAGTTTGTTATGATCGGCACAATCAAATGTTTTTGCATAATCAATAAAACACAAATAGACATTCTTCTGATATCCCTTGCTTTCAGCTAAGATCTGACATTAGCAGGTATCACACTGATGTCATGCTGGTGCCACAGCCTCTTCTAAACCCAACTTGAACTTCTGGAAGTTCTCTGTCTTTAACAATATTTTGTTTTCATGTAATATTAATGACATTACTTGATAATTTCCACATTGTGTTGGATCACCTTTCTTGGGAACAGAAACAAATATAGATCTCTATACAAATATGGATACAGGTAGATGTATTCCAAATTTCCTGTCACAGACTGCTGAGCATGTCCAGGGCTGCATTTATTTGGAATGTGTCAGTTGGTATCCCATCAGTTCCTGGGGCCTTAATTTTTACCAGTGCCTTCAATGCAGTGTGAACTTCTTCCTTAATCACCACCAATCTTTTATCATATGCTCCTTCCTGAAATATTTCATTGTTGACCAGTACGTTTTTAATCTGGGGTATAGTAACTCTGTATATTCCCTCAATCTTCTTTTAATGCTTCCTGGATCATTTAAGATTTTGCCCACAGTGCATCTCAGTGTTGCAACTTGAGGCTTGAATTTGTTTTACAGTTCTTTTAGTTTGAGAAATGAAGAACGAGTTCTTGTTTGTTCATTCTCCCCCTCCAGGTCTTTGCTTATTCCACTATAATACTTTGTGTTTTCTTGTTGAGCTGCCCTTTGTGTGCTCATTTCTTTTACTTTGGCATCTCTTCCCTTTGTTTTGTCTTCTCAATACCCTAGTGCAATTTTCAAAGTCTCTTCTAACATCCATTTTAGTCCTTCTTTCTCCTCTACCTTCTACTGACATTTTACTCTCTTCATGAATGATATCTTTAGTGCTATCCTACAATTGATCTAGTCTTTGATCCTTAATGTTTAGTACCTCAAAACTTGTTCTTTTTTTTCTATAATTATATTTTATTAATTTTCATAAACATTTACAGAGATTTTGGGTTTCCATTCATTCACCGCTGTACCATTCTCTCTACCCTCCTCCCAGTTTGTTCTTGTCCAAATGCCACAGTGCTTGTCAAAGCCAGTTCTGATTAATCTTCTTTTCAAAACTTGTTCTTGAAGTGATTTTTAAATTTAGGTGTCTATCCCACCAAAGCAAGGTGGAGGGTCCGTGAAAGAGACACAGGCCCTCAGTGAAATGGATTGATACAGTGTCTGCAGGAATGAGGTCAGAATGATAAAGATAGTACAGGATAGGACAGGGTTTCAGATCTATTGTTCATAGGTTTGCTTTGAGTCATATTTGACAACACTTAACAACAACAATGCAGTCCTGTGGGGAAAAGTTAAAAGCAGTGGCTTAGGAAAGCTATTTTGAACAATCAGCCTGCTACACTACAATGTATAGTTTTCAAAATAAGATACTAAAGTATTTTACTTAGAAGGAAGTGTTTTAATTTTGTAGCCTTTTTTTAAAAAAAATATTTTTGTTAATTCGTACATAGAACAGAATATTCTTTTTGTTATATGTAAATCTATACATGTAGGAGTATTGTTACTTCTGGGTAGATTTCTCTTTCATTTAAATAAAAATACTCTTCATAATGATAGCAAGTAATAAATGTTAGAGAGGATGTGTCAAGAAAGGAACTCTTATACATTGTTGGTGGGATTGTAAAATGGCACAACCTCTCTGGAATGCAGATTGAGATTTCTTCAGAAAGCTGAATTCCATATGATCCAGCTATTCTATTGCTTGGAATATACCCTGAGAGAATGAGAACTGAGGCACAAATGAAGACTTGTACACCAATGTTCATCACAACATTATTCACCATTGCAGGAACATGGAAACAACCCAAATGCACAACCACAGTCGAATGGATTGAGAAATTATGGTACATTCACATGATGGAATACTATGTAGCATGCGAGAGCAATGATTTTTAAATCACTAGCAAACTTGAGAAGGACTGGAGAGCATTATGCTAAGTGAACTAATTCAATCCCATAAGGACAAATACTGTATAAAACCGTTATGGTAGAATGTGAATGAGGATCCAAGGGGGTAGGGTGAGAGCAGAGGGGTGAGGATGGGTGGGGGAGGTGGTGGTAGTGGTTAATCTGTTGAACAATTTGCTGGCTGCAGGAAGGAGTGGGAAAAGGAAATGGGAAAGATCTGGTGTGAAAAATAAACCGGTATAACATAAAAGTTTTATTAAAAAACAACAACAAAAAAATACTGTTTATAGTATTTCCCCCTCTTTGATTATGTTAATGATGGATACAAGATAATTGACATAAAACCCAAACCACTTCTGTTTAGTTGATTCCAGCTCAAAGCAACCATCCCTGAAGTTTTCGAGTCTATAAGTGTTTATGGAAGAAGACTGCTTATTTTTTTCCCTTGGAGTGTGGTAGGTAGGATTTGAACCGCTAACCTGTAGGTTAGTAGTGCAACCAACACCTAATGTACTATGCCACCAGAGGTTTGTTGGGTTTTTTTTGCCACCAGAGATTTTTAATTGACTTGTGGTAGGTATACAAAGATACTACCTAAAGTTGGCTGCTGATGTGTATAGGGCCTTAGTGAAGAAAGTAGCTTAGTGTAAAGTGTGGAACCCTTCTACACTAGATGCTTTATCCTTTTGGCCTGTTCCTGAGAGTAAGTCTACACCTGTTTTAGAGGATCACCTGGAGGCCTGATACTACCTCTCCATATATAGTAACTTCTCAGGTTAGGAACTTCAGACTTAGGAACAACTCAGACTTGGCCTTGAATGCTATCTAAAATTTGCTCTCTATCTGAAATGATTGAATGTACCCCTATTCAAGGGAGCTCTGGTGATCTAGTGGTAAGAAACTGAGGTATAATCCCAAAGGCACATGGTTTGAATCCACCAGCTGCTCCATGGGAAAAGGATGAGCAGTCTCCTCCTGTGTGATTTACTGCCTCTGAAAACCCACTGGAGGTTTAGCTATGGTTGATTATGACTTGACGACACACAGCAACAATGACAACAACCCCTGCTGAAATAAATTATGTATCACAGTTCCTTCATGTAGCCTTTAAGTCATTGCTAAAGCTTGGAGCCTTTTCTTGCGCTAAGCCCACCAGTCAGTTCTGACTCATATCAATGCATATCCAACTAGAATTTCTCCTGTAGGGCTTCCAAGGCTGTATATCTTTATGGTGACTGACTGCCATATCTTTCTCCCACAAGTGGGAGTGGATTCAAACTACTAACCTTTTAAATAGCATTTTAACCTCTGTGCCACAAGGGCTCTTGCACAACAGTAAGACTTAATAAGAACCATATTCTGAAGGATCTAGGATTGACAGATTTTTAGAGGTATAAGTCTATTTAGAAATTTGGCAAATTGTAAGTTGAGTGTGTGATCTGGAAAATTCTCAAAGGATGAGCTAGACTTAAAATGTCACCATATTTCGTACTAAACTTTATAGATTTCTCTGCCATTAAATGAAATATGAACTTATGTTATTCACATGTCATTTAATCTACTCATGTTTCATTGTAGGAGGTGGTGAGAAAGCCCGAACCCTTCACATATCAAGAGGAAAGCTGTTACCTAGAGAAAGGATTGACAGACTTATAGACCCGGGGTTGGTAACTAACTGTGTGTTAACAACAGTCTCTCTTTTGTTATATTTGTAAGATGATATTGAATCCCAATCCTTACTGTAATGATGGAACGAAACATTATAAAATTATTATCATATTATTGTTGTTACTGTAGTGATGAAACTAAACATTGTAAAAATACTATCATGTTATGTTGTTGTTGTTATGTGCCATCGAGTCGTTTGCGACTCATAGCGAACCTACGTACAAGAGCTCTAAAGGCTGTTCTATCCTGTGCCAACCTAGCCATCGCAAACACACTTATGCCCACCGCTCCAGTCACAGAATTGATCCATCTCATCAAAGGTCTTCCTCTCCTTCACTGCCCCTCCACTCTGCCAAACATGATGTCCCTCTCCAAGGGCCAGTCCCACCTTGCAACATGACCAAAGTATGTCAGATGAAGCTTCAGAATCCTTGACTCCAAGGAGCATTCCGTCTTCACCTTCTCCAGGACAAACCTGTTTGTTCTCCTAGCAGTCCATGGTATATTCAACATTCTTCTCCAGCACCACAGTTCAAAGGCATCAATTCTCTTTCTATAGGAAAGTAAAATCCCCTGACCTCTCACCAGGCCTATATCCTTCTGTTATTGATTCAACAACAAATATTTATTGAGAGGCTGCTAGGTATCAGACTGAATAAGAGCGAAATGTTTTTGCCTTGATAGAGTTTACTTTATATCAGGGGGAGAGAAAATGAGCAATAATTGTGATATGTAAAGGGCATGGGATGTCCCCAGGTGATAAACACCATGGACGAAAAGAGACAAGGGTGAAAAGGAAGAGTTGGGAGCCAGTTGCAGTTTTTTGTGGGGTAATCAAGCCTCAATTAGATGGTGATATTTGAGCAAAGATTGAGGGAAGCAACAGTGAACCCTGCAGATAATTGGGGAATGAGTGTCCTAGGTACAAAGACCTTGAGGTGAAGATGGGCCAGATATGCTTAAAGGGTAGCCAGAGGGCAAGAGTGGTTGAAATGGAGGGAGCAAACTAAAGTTTGCCATATATAGGATGGTGTGCACAGAGCTGGAGTCATAGAAAAAAGGGAACAACTTGCTCTACATTTCTAAATTCAAGCCTTGAGTTGCAGTTCTTAGAAATACAATGGGCAAAATCTTGAATGATCCAGAAAGCATCAAAAGAAGATAGAGGGAATATACAGGTCACTGTACCAAAAAGAATTGACTGACACTGAAGTATTTCAGGAGCTTTGGTGGCCCAGTGGCAAGAAGCTGCACAGCAGTCAAAAAGGCACCTGGTTCAAGTCCACAGCCTGCTCCATGGGAGAAAGATGGACAGTCTCTTCCAGTGTGATTAATTGCCTCTGATAACCCACTGGAGGGTCAACTGTGAGTTGTTTCCAACTCAATGGCACACAACAACAATAACAATCATATGATCAAGAGCTAATTGTAATGGAGGAAGAAGTTCAAGCTTCACTTGAAGACACTGGCAAAAGTAAAGCCCTATGGGTTGATGCAATACAAATTGACATGTTTTAAATGACAGATGAAGCCCTGGACATGTTTATCAGCCTGTGCCAAGAAATTTGGAAGACAGCTACCTGGACAACTGACTGGAAGAGATTGCATTCCCATGAAAGGTGATCCAACAGAATGTGGAAGAACTGATTCTGCCCTGACTGTGCTTACCAAGTTGTGCCAAGAAATGTGGAGGACAACCACCTGGCCAACTGATTGGAAGTGATCCATATTCCCATTCCAAAGAAAAGGTGACCCAACAGAGTGTGGAAATATCATTAATATCACATGCAAGCAAGATTTTGCTGAAGATTATCCAAAAAATGACTGGAACAGCACACCAACAGAGAACTACCAGAAGTGCAGGCTGGATTTAGAAGAGGTTGTAGCACTAGGGATATTATAGCTAATGTTAGCTGGATCTTGGCTGGAAGCAGAGAGTACCAGAGGAATGTGTGTGCTTCATTGACTATGCAAAAGTATTTGACTATGTGGATCACAATAAATTATGGCTAACTCTAAGAAGAATGGGAATCCCAGAACAATTTGTTGTGTTTCTATGAAACCTATAGCATAACAATTGATTTATTTCAACAAACAGACACTGCCCTGGATGTGCTCACTAAGTTGTGCCAAGAAATCTGGTGGATAGCCAGCTGGCCAACTGACTGGAAAAGATTCATACTTGTTCCCATTCCAAAGAAAAGGTGACCCAAAAGAGTGTGGAAATTATCAAACAATATCATTAATATCACATGCAAGCAAGATTCTGCTGAAAATTATCCAAAAACATTTGGAAAAATATGTCAACAGAGAACTGCCAGACGTGCAGGCTGGATTTAGAAGAGGTCGTGGTAATAGAGATATTATAGGAATGTTTGATGGATCTTGGCAGAAAGCAGAGAATACCAGAAGAATGTCTTTCTGTGCTTCATTGACTATCCAAAGGCCTTTGACTGTATGAATCACAAAAAGCTATGGCTGATTCTCAGAAGAATGGGAATCCCAGAACATTTGATTGTGCTAATGCGAAACCTATACTTGGACTAAGAGACAGTCGTCAGAATAGAGCAAGGAGATACTACATGGTTCAAAATCAAGAAGGGGGCCCGTCAGGGATATATTTTGTCTCCATACCTTTTCAATCTCTATGCAGAACAGATCATCCAAGACGCTGGGCTATAGGAGGAGGAATGTGGCATCAGGATTGGTGGAAGAGTTATCAACAATCTGCATTACGCAGATGACTCAACCCTGCTTCCTGAAACTGAGGAGGACCTGAAGTGCTTACTGCAGAAGGTCAAGGACTGCAGCCTTCAATATGGATTGAAGCTCAACATCAAGAAACAAAGATTCTCACCACTGAGCCAATTGGCAGCATCAGTATGGATGGTGAAGAGATTGAGATAGTTAACAGTTTTAGTTTACTTGGTTCCGCAGTCAACACTCTTCATAACAGTAGCCAGGAAATGAGGAGATGAATTGCATTGGGAAAGTCAGCTGTGAGAGACCTCTCAAAAGTACTGAAGAGCAATGACGTCAGGCTGGAGACTAAGGTGCGCCCGATCCAGGCTATTGTCTTTGCAATTACATGCTATGCATTAGAGAGTTGGACAGTGACTAGGGTTGATAGAAAGAGAATTGATGCCTTTGAGCTGTGGTGCTGGAGAAGAATGTTGAATATACCATGGACTGCTAGGAGAACAAACAGGTTTGTCCTGGAGAAGGTGAAGCCGGAATGCTCCTTGGAGTCAAGGATTCCAAAGCTTCATCTGACATACTTTGGGCATGTTGCAAGAAAGGACTGGTCCTTAGAGAGCGACATCATGTTTGGGAGAGTGGAGGGGCGATGCACGAGAGGAAGACCCTCGATGAGATGGATTAATTCTGTGATTGGAGTGGTGGGAATGAATGTGTTTGAGACGGCGAGGTTGGCAGAAGATAGAATGGTGTTTAGGGCTCTCATATAGGGTCGCCATGAGTCACAAGGGACTTGATGGCACATAACAGCAACAATAACAACATACTTGGATCAGGAGACCATTGTCAGAACAGAGCAATGAAACATTGCATGGTAAAATCGGTAAGAGTGTATGGCAGGGGTATGTCCTGTCTCCATACCTTTTTGATCTATATGTGGAACAAGTCATCTGGGAGGCTGGGCTCTATAAGGAGGAATGTGGATCAAGATTGGAGGAGGACTCATCTCCAACCTGTGTTATGCAGATAATACTGTTTGCTTGTTGAAACTGAGGAGGACCTGAAGCACTTGCTGCAGAAGGTCAAAGATTGCAGTCTTCAATATGGTGTGAAGCTCAACATGAAAACTTCAAAGATTCTCACCATAAGTCTGATTGACAGCATCACGATAGACAGTGAAGAGATTGAGATTGTTAACAGCTTTCGTTTGCTTGACCCCACAATCAACACTCTTGCTGCCAGCAACCAGGAAATCAAGACTAATTGCATTGGGAAAATCTGCTGTCAGGGACATCTCTAGAGTACTGAAGAACAGCGATGACAGTCTGAAGGCTAAGGTGCACCTGATCCTAGCCATGGTCTTTGCAGTTACATGCTATGCATCAGAAAGCTGGACAAAAACTAGGGATGATAGAAGGCGAATTGATGTCTTTGAGCTGTGGGGCTGGAGAAGAGTATTGAATATACAATGGACTGCTAAGTGAACAAACAAGGTTGTCCTGGAGAGGATGAAATCAGATTGCTCCTTGCAGGCAAGGATTCTGAAGCTCCTTCTGATATACTCTGGGCATATTACAAAGAGGGACCAGTCCTTATAGAAGGACGTTATGCTTGGGAGGGTGGAGGAACAGCACAAGAGAGGGGGACTTTTGATGAGATGGATTGACTCAGTTACTGAGATAGTGGGGGTACGTGTGTCAGAGACAATAAGGTTGGCTCAAGATAGAGCAAGGTTCAGAAAGGTTATGCATATAGGATCACTGTGAGTTGCAGGCGACTTGAGGATACAAAACAACAATCATGAATACTCCATGTAAGCAAAATATTGTTGAAAATCTGTTAAAAACAGCTAGCACAGTACATTGACAGAAGTATAGACAGGATTTAGAAGTGACTGTGGCACTAGGGATATCATTGCTGATGTCAAATGGATCCTGATTAAAAGCAGAGAATACCAAAAGAATGTCCTATTTTGGCTTTGATGACAAATACAGAGGCATTTGACTGAATCATAACAATTTTTGGCTCACATTGAAAAGGATGGAAATCCCAGAACACTTAATTGTGCTCATGCAAAACTTTTATCTCAACCAAGAGGTTATATGAACAGAGCAAGGGAATAATGCATGGTTTAAAATTAAGAAAAGTGTGCATCAGGCTTGTATCCTCTCTCCATAACTATTCAATTTTTATGCTGAGCAAGTCATTTGAGAAGCAGGACTCTGAAAAAGAATGTTGCAGGAGGGTTGGAGTAAGACTCATTAACAATTTGCATTATGCAGATTACACAGCCTTGCTGAAAGTGAGGAAGACTTGAAGCACTTCTTGCAGAAGATCAAAGACTACAGCCTTCAAAATGGATTACATCTCAGTATCAAGAAGACAAAAATCCTCACCACTAGATTGTTAGGCAGCATCATGATGGATGGAGAAAAGACTAAAACTGTTAACAAAGTCATCTTACTTGGATATATGGTCAATACACATGTTGTCAGCAGTCAGGAGATCAGGAGAGGTATCAGGTTGGAGAAGTCTGCAGTCAGGGACCTCTCCAAATTGCTGAGGAGCAACTATATCAGTTAGGACTAAGGTATGCCTGATACAGGCCATAGTCTTTTCAGATGTTGTGGCACCAAGAATACCATTGCTGATGTCATATGAATCATGGCTCAAAGTATATTAGAAGATTGTCTATTTATGCTTTATTGACTATGCAAAGGCATTTGACTGTGTGAATCATAAGAAGTTATTGCTAACATTGAGCAGAATGGAAATCCCAGAGCACTTAATTGTGCTTATGCTAAATCTAGACCTCTAGACCAGGAGGCTGTTGTATGAACAGAGCAAGAGAACACTACATGGTTTAAAATTAAGAAGGGAGTGTGTCAGGGTTGTATTCTTTCTCCATACCTATTCTGTCTGTATGCTGAGCAAATTTTCAGCGAAGCTGGACTCTCTAAAGAGGAATGTGGTATCAAGATTAGAGGGAGATTCATCAATAACCTGTGTCATGCAGATGACAACAACCTTGCTTTCCTGAAAGTGAGAAGGATTTGAAGCACTTGTTAGAGAAGATCAATGAATATAGCTTTCAATATGAATTGCATCTCAACATCCAGAAAACAAAAATTCTTACCATTAGACCAATAGGCAACATTATGACAAATGGAGAAAAGATTGAAGTTTTCACCAAATTCATCTTATATATATGATATGTGCTGTTGAGTTGGAACTGACCCATAGCTGACCTTCCAGCTGGTTTTCAGAGGCAGTCTATTGAATGAGAGGAGATAGCCCATTCTTCTGCAGAGCAGCTGCTGGACTTGAACAGAAGCCTTCAAGTTGGTATTGCAGCTTTTTACCACTAGACCACCAGAGTTCATACATGTGTGTGTGTATATTACATACCGACATATATACATATGTTGTTGTTGTTGTTGTTATGTGCCATCGAGTCGTTTGCGACTCATAACGACCCTATGCACAACAGCCCTAAACCCTGCTCTATCCTGCGCCAACCGCACTGCCTCTGACACACCCATCCCGATTACCCCAGTCACCGAGTCAATCCATCTCATAGAGGGCCTTCCCCTCCTGCACTGTTCCTCCACCCTCCCAAGCATGATGTCCCTCTCCAAGGACCCGTCCCTCCTGGCAACATGTCCAAAGTATGTCAGACGAAGCCCCAGAATCCTTGCCTCCAAGGAGTAGCTTGGTTTAATCCTCTCCAGGATGAATCTGTTTGTTTTCCTGGCAGTCCATGGTACATCCTATATACATATACATGTATTTATTTTTTATTTTACTTTTTACATACATATTTTTGCAAAAGAAAGAAAGCAGAAATCACGTTGGATATATTTTATGGCTTCCTGATTTCTTCACTCAGTATATATTGCTCATTTTTATAAATTGAGACATAGAATAACACAGAGCTTAATTCTTGGGGCTATAATATATTAAATCCTAACTGTGCCATTAGCAGTATGACCTAGCCAAGTTATTTAGTGTTTGTATGTCTCAGTTTCATAAATGCGGGACATAATGAAATCCACCTCAGAGTAGTTTTGGGGAGTTAGTGGCTCCGAAGCTCTTAGATGAGCCGGACAAACCTACAATAACATTAAGTGTCCCCTCCTAGTCTTTTCCTGTATTAATAAACACAGTGTGGGATGTCTTTAAAATAAATATCTTGTGGTCTAGTGCCTGGATGTACCAAGTATGTCCACAAACTATTTGCGTGAATTTTATTTTACTTTTTACTAGAAATTATCGAATTAGGATTTAAAAAGAAACTCTAGTTGTTGGATTTAAATATAAATATTTTAAACATTGCCATGTTAAAGACAAAATATCTTTGCTTTTTCTTGTATAACTGTTTAATGTGATTTTAAAAGTTCCATCAGTAATTCAGTCAATATCCATCCTCTCTGCAGGTCCCCATTTCTGGAATTATCCCAGTTTGCAGGTTACCAGTTATACGGTAATGAGGAAGTGCCAGCAGGTGGCATCATTACAGGCATTGGCAGAGTGTCAGGGTAAGTAAGTCTACCCGTCAACAGTGTGGTCAGAACAAGTGTTTGGTGTGATACAGGCTCCTTTTCATTTGACATGTTAGCATGCAAGTTGCATCCTGTTTTTTATTTCTTACTTAGGGCTGAGGCTTTCTACCCAGATACATAATAGATTTATCTGTGGAACTCTGAAGACAAAAGTTAAAGGGGAAAATGAACAAACAACAATAAAAAGAACCCAAGGAAAATCCTTGGGATTCTTCTAATTCAGGGCTTCCTGCTTTATCAGAATCTCCAGATGTGGCCTGATGTATGCAATGCTGGATTACCCAATAAGTTTGCTAGGTGAAGGCTTCTAACAGGGGTCTTGTTAACATATTGGAGGCTCTGAGGGTGTAATATGCAGGGAGTTGGGCTGCTAACGCAACAGCTGTGCCTCTCTGACAGTTTGAACTCACCAGCAGATCCGAGGGAGAACGAGGGGTAGTATTCTGCATGATTTATAGCCTGCCTCAGAAACCCAGCAGAGGGTCAGCTCAGAATTGTTTCTGACTTGACAGCAGTGAAAATAGTTCTGCCTTGGTGAGAGTGAAACCACGTTTCTCCATGGAGGTTAGGATTTTGAAGCTCCATCTCATATTTTGGACTCGTGGCCAGGAGAGACCAGACCTTGGAGAAGGACATCATTCTTGAAAGGGTGGAGGGACAGTGTAGGAGAGAAAGACCCCAGATGAGAGGGATTGATACAGTAACTGGGGTAATGTGGGTAGGTGTGTTAGAGTTAGTAAGACTGGCTCAGGATAGAGCAGGGTTCAGAGCAGCTGTACATAGGGTCATTACGAATCGCAGGTGACTCAGTGGCACATAATAACAACAACAATGTAGATTTTGACTTGGTATCTCTTGGGTTGAAATTCAGTTTTTAACAGGGACCAGACAAAAATGAACCAGTGTGAGGGTCTGTTTTCAAAGGCTCTGCTGGAAAGCTCTTGAACATCTCAAGTGAGTACAACTGTCTTGGAAGAGTACTCTGACATTGACCCCTAGACAACAGCATTGGCATTGCCTGGGAACTTGTTAGAACCACAGATTCTCAGGTAGTAAACTCTTAGGGCAAGGTCCTGCAGTTTATATTAACAGATCCTCCTGGTTTTCATGTGCTAAAGAGTGAACAAATGATCAAGTCTTTCATAGAAGAAGTAAAGCCAGAATGTTCCTTGGAAGCAAGAATGCAGAGTCTTCTTCATCTTGCGTATTTCAGACAAGTTATTAGGAGAGACCTGTCTGTGGAGAAGAACATGATGCTCTTTAAAGTAGAGGATCAATAAAAAAAAAAAAAAAATAAAGTAGAGGATCAGAGAAAAGACGAAGACCTTCAATGAGATTGACAGAAAGTCTGCAACCCTGGGCAAGAACAGCAATGGTTGGCAGGATGGCACAGGACTGTGTGGTGTTTCCTTTCCTTGTTGACACATAACAACAACTACAAATTTTGAGAGCTGCTGTAGACTTAGGAAATTTAGATTGCTAGATGTTAAATTTATTTAACACACATGCATATGTAGGAGAAAAACAGGGTTCGGTTTCTTTGAGCCTCTTGTAGCAGACCCTCCAGGGGGTTTTCAGAGGCACTTAATTGGGAGGAGATTGCGCATCCTTCCGCGGAGAAGCTGGTAGCCTCGTACTCCATGCGTTCTCAGGATTGTAGCGCTACTTCTTGCCACTAAGCCACTAGAGCTCACTCATGCTCTCTCGCTCCCTCTCCTTCTTTCTCTGTATATATCTGTAACTCTAGAAGCAGGAGTAGCATCCACTTCCTAAACAACATGACTCTGGAAACTCTGTGAACTTTGATAAATGATGATAATTACAGAACTGCTTCAGGCTTGTGCTCGACTTGATGGCAGTCAATAACAACAACAACATATCTATATCTATCTATCTATCTATCTATCTATCTATCTATCTATCTATCTATCTATCTATCTATCTAATTTCCTTAACATTGAATCCAAGACCATTGGCACTAAATATCTCATGCCTGAAAGAAGCACTAGCACATACTTTCTCTGTCTGGCTCATCAGGCCCGTATTACACTGAAGAATACTAGGTATTACTTCAGCACTTTAAAATGGCTTTGCCACCAATTTGAAGTTGCCTGCATAGAAAGCACAGAAATGATGATGAAAAACATGGCACTGAGTACACTGTGAAAAGGTTACTTGTTTACAAATGTGAGAGCTGAAATAAGGCCATGTTGCACCCTCAGGTGGGGACATGAACGTAAGCTGCTCACGTTTTTCACTCTTCTGCACGTATGTATGAATGACTGTGATAGGACCACCAGGACTGACTTTGAGGTTACAGATTTATTTTAGTAAGAGGATTCTTACATACGGAACCTGTGAATAGTGAGGATCAGTTGTATTTGATATCACAGTCGTCACATAGTTACCATGTACTATTAATATAGTTTTCCCATTGATCCTTAAAACAACTCTGTGATAATGAATATTATTACTGTCTTCATCATCCCTAGATAAGAAATAGGCTTAAAATTCATTGCTGTTCCGTTGATTTCAAATCCTAGGGGCTCTCTGTAGGACAGAGTAGAACAGTCCCTCAGCACTTCCCGGGTTGTAATCGTAACACAAGCAGAATGCCTCATCTTTCCCCTGAGGAGCTATTGGTGGATTAGTTAGCGACATTTGGTTAGTAGCTCAACTTTACCCCACTACATCATAAAGGATCCTTGGAAATACATTTATGTTTTGTTCTTGATGTTCTGTACCTTCAAGTTGCCTGTGACTTATAGCGACCCTGTGTACAGTAACTCTGAACCCTGCCTTGTCCTGAGCCAATTTCATTACTAATCCCATTCCTCCAATCACTGAGTGAATCTATTTCATCTGGGCTCTTTCTCTCCTGCGTTGTCCCCCCACTCTTCCAAGCATGATGTCCTTCTGTAAGGACTGGTCCCCTCTGGCCACATGACCAAAGTTTGTGAGATAGAGCTTTAAAATCCTTGCCTCCAAGAAGCAACTTGGTTTTACTCTCTCCAGCACAGACCTGTTTGTTCTTTTGGTGGTATACATATGTTCAACACTGTATAGCACCACATGTTAAAAGCACCAACTCTACTATTGTCATTAGTCCTAGTCCAGATCTCTGATGCATAGCAAGTAATTTTGAAGACCATGGCCTGGGTCATTCGCACCTTAGTCTCCAAACTGGCACCATTGTTCTTCAGTATGGTAGAGAGATCCGTGACAGCAGATTTTCCCAGTGCAATTTGTCTTTTAATTTCCTAGCTGCTGGTACTAAGAGTCTTGACTGTGGAGCCAAGCAAACTAAAGCTGTTAACAGTCTCAATTTCTCCTCCATCTATTACGGTGTTGCCAATTGGCCTAGTGGTGACAATCTTTGTTTTCTTGATGTTGAGCTTCAATCTGTATTTGAAGGCTGCTGTCCTTGACCTTCTGCAGCAAATGCCTCATGTCCTCCTCAGTTTCAGCAAGCTAGATTCTGTCATCTGCATAATACAGGTTCCTGATGAGTCTTCCTCCAATTCAGATGCCACATTCCTCCTCATAGAGCCCAGCCTCACAGATGATCTGTTTCACATATAGATTGAAAAGGTATGGAGAGAGGATGCATCCTTGGCATACATATTTCCTGATCTTGAACCATACAGTGTTTCCTTGCTCTGTTCTGACTACTGCCAAGTATAGATTTCACATAAGCACAGTCCAGTGTTTGGGAATTTCTGTTCTTAAAGTTAGCCACAGTTTGTTGTGATCCACATAGTCAAATGCCTGTGCATAGTCAATGAAACACAAATAGACAGCTCTCTGGTACAGTATTTGACAAACATTTTACTTTACCCAAAAGAGTGGATGAGAGATCTTTCCTATTATGCTGGTAACAGATCACGTATTGGCCCCACTCCCCCTCTTCGGTACACGTATCTTGTACCCACCCCCATTCCTGCTCTGCTAGCTTCCAGTTTAGTTCCATCTCCATGCCCCTGCAGCACTTCCTACCTTCTGCCCCAGCCAATCCTGGTTTGATGGCTTAGGCTGCCGTCCACTTCTGTCCACCATTTCTTCTCCACTCCCCTGTAATGTTGGTATTTCTGGCATGTGTGTTACTTCCTCCATATTGTTCCATATTTATACATACGTACTATCAAGTCAGGAGTGACTCATAGCTGAAGCTTTAGTGAGTTTTCAGAGGCTGTAAATCACACAGGAGAAGATTGCCCAATTTTCTGCCATTGAGAGCTGGTGGGCTTGAACGATATGCCTTTGGGTTGGCAGCTCTGTTCATTACTCACTGGGATACAGTTAAAATTACTTGCTCATGATCTCATGCTCCTGGGGAATCTCGGATTTAACTCCAGCTCAGGCTGAATCCTAGCATCACACAATTGCATTTGGTTCCAGTCCTGGGTAAGATGGGTGGTTCTCTGTCTCCTCAGGAGAGCCTAGCTTTCAGGGCAGGTGCAGCTGTAGCACTTACACACATTGTTGTTCCTTCCTCCCTCCCTTCTCTACCCCCAGACCTCCTTTGTGGCTCTTTTCCTATTGTGATTTACTTCAAAACAAACAAATAACTCCGCCTCACTACTGTGAGTGTATTCAGACTTATAGTGCCCCTCTGTTGGTTTCTGAATCTAGAAATCTTAACAGGAGGAGAGACAGCTCATCTTTGTCCTGTGGAGCTGCTGGTGAATATGAATTGCCAGAGAGTCATCACCTGTTGGTTAACTGCACAGCATGCTTCAGGCTACACTTGATGTTCACCAAGTATGTGGTTGTTCTTGCTATGTGCTGTTCAGTCACCTGGGACTCATAGTGACCCGATGGACAGCAGCTTTGAAGCCTGCCCTGTCCTGAGCCGGTCTCAGAGACTCCCAACACACCGAACTCCATTGCTCTAGTTACTGTATAAATCCATCTCATGCGTGGTCTTTCTCTCCGGTGCTGTCCTTCCACCCTTCTGGGCACGTTATCCTTTTACAAGGAGTAGTCTCTCCTGACCACATGCCCAAAAATATGTGAGCCAGAAGTTCAAAATCCTTGCCTCCAAGGAGAAACTTGGTTTCACCCTCTCCAAGATAGACCTATTTGTTTTCTTGGTGCTCCATGATATGGTCAAGACTCTTCTGCAGCACCACAACTCAAAGGCATCATTTCTTCTTCTGTCAGACTTGTCATAATCCACCTCTCTGATGCATAGCAAGCAATTGTGAAGACCATGGACTGGATCAGGTGCACCTTAGTCTCTAGACTGACATCATTGCTTCTTAGTACTCTGGAAAGCTTCCCGACATCAGATTTACCTAATGCAAATTGTCTTTTGATTTCCTGACTACTGGTGCCAAAAGTGTTGATTGTGGAGCTGAGCAATCAGTAATTGGTAACCTCAATCTCTTCTCCATCCAGTGATGAGAATCATTGTTGTCTTGATGTTGAACTTTAATAGTCCTTGACCTTCTACAGCAAGCTCTTCAGGTCCTCCTCAGTTTCAGTTAGCTAGGGTGTGGCATCTGCATAACATAGCTTGTTGATGAGTCTTTCTCCAATCCTGATGCCACATTCCTCTTCATAAAATCTAGATTTCCAAATGATCTGTTCTGCATACAGATTAAAATGGTGTGGAGACAGGACAGATCCCTGATGCACCCCCTTCAGTGTTGCCCTGCTCTGTTCTGAGGACAGCTTCCTGGCCCAAGTGTAGGTTTCGCATAAGCAAAATCAAGTGTTCTGGGATTCCCATTTTCCTCAAGTTTAGCCACAATTTGTTGTGATCCACACAGTCAAATGCCTTTGCATAGTCAATGAAACAAATATAGATATCCCTTGGCTTTCTGCCAAGATCAATGTGACATTGACGATAATGTCTCTAGTGCCATGGCCTCTTCTAAACCCAGCTTATATTTCTGATAGTTCTCTGTCAATGTATATACTGTTTTTGTTATCTGCGGTCGAGTTGCCTGCATCTCATAGCGATCCTGTGTACAATAGTTCTAAACTCTGCTCTATCCCTTGCCAATCTTATTGTCTCTGACACACCTATCCCCATTACCCCAGTGACTGAATCAGTCCATCTCATCGAGGGTCTTCCTCTCCTACGCTCTCCCTCCACCCTCCCAAGCATGACGTCCCTCTCTAAGGACTGATCTTGCCTTGCAACATGTCTAAAGTATGTCAGACGAAGCTTCAGAATCCTTGCCTCTAAGGAGTAACCTGGCTTCACACTCTCCAGGATGAACTTGTTTGTTTTCTTGGCAGTCCATGGTATATTCAATATTCTTCTCCAGCTCCACAGCTCAAAGGCATCAACTCTTCTTCTATCATCCCTAGTCATTGTCCAGCTCTCTGATACATAGCAAGTAATTGCAAAAACTATGGCCTTTATCAGGTGCACCTTAATCTTCAGATTGACATCATTGCTCTTCAGTACTTTGGCGAGGTCTCTGATAGCAGACTTTCCCTATGCAATTAATCTTTTAATTTCCTGACTTCTGGTTCCAAGAGTATTGATTGTAGAGCCATGAAAACTGAAGCTGTCAACAATCTCAATCTCTTCACTATCATCTATAATGATGCTGCTAATTGGCCCATTGGTGAGAATCTTTGTTATTTGATGTTGAGCATCAATCCATATTGGAGGCCGCAGTCCTTGACTGCAAGCACTTCAGGTCCTCCTCAGTTTCAGCAAGCAAAGTTTTGTCATCTACGTAGCGCAGATTGCTGATGAGTCTACCTGTGATCCTGATGCCACACTTCTCCTTATAGAGCTCAGCCTCCCGGATAATCTGTAGAGCCTTTATTTTCTTGGAGTCTTATGAAACATTAACATTAAGCCTTTTTGAAAGAAGTGTAAATTTAATGCAGAGTTAACTAAATTTCTATGTCTTGGAAAGACATATTAAAGAAGGAAGGTGGTGGTTGTTAGGCATTATGGAGTAGGTTTTGATTCACAGTGAGCCCCATGTGACAGAGAATTGTCCCTAGGATTTTCTAGGCCTTCATCTTTATAAGAGCAAATTGCCATGTCTGTCTTCTGAGGAGCCATGGGGATAGTTCAAGCTCAACAACTCTTTGGATGGCTACCTGTGCACTTAACCATTTGTTGTTAGGTGCCGTCCATCACTTTGACCACAGCCCCTAATGAATGGCAGATCTAAACCCTGCCCTGTCCTGTGCTGTCTTCATCATCTCTGAGGTACTCTTCCGTCCATTGTTACAGTCACCGTGTCAGTCCATCTTCATTGAGGGTCTTCCTCCCTTTCGCTGACAAGCATGAAGTCTTCTCCCAAGGATTGGCTGCTCCTAACAGCATGCTTAGAGTATATGTGCCAAGTAGGAGTTGTTAAGTGCTGTCGAGTCGTAGGCGACTCATAGCGACCCTATGAATGAAAGTCCTTGACACTTGCGTGTGTGACTTTCATCCTTTCTCCAGGCTCATAGGGTTTACGGAGGCAAGCTGTTCACGAAAGTGGATGCTGCTCCTGCTTCCAAGCCAAGTAGGAGAGTGTTGTCATAATGTGCTGTCGAGTTGGAACCACCTCATGGCTGACCCCCTCGATAATTTTCAGAGGCAGTAAATTGCATAAGTGATTGCCTGTCTCTCTCCGGTGGAACTACTGATAGATTTGAGCCATATGCATTTGTGTTGGCAATGTAGCGCCTTACCTAACAGGCCACTAGAGCTCCTTAAGCAGGAGAATTGTGGTGGTGGTGTTGATTGATGTCGAAACGGGCACAACTCATAGTGACCCTATGAAAAAAGGCCTTAAGCCTTTCTATAACTTTTGACATTTTTCAGAGTTCATAGAGTTTCCAGAGGCATGTTGTTTAGAAAGTGGATAATTATAACAGCTGGTTGTTATGACTGTAGATGCTTTTGGAACAGTTCTTTTCCCCCATACACAAATGTTAAAAAAAAAGGTATATACAAATATTTTATTGTTTACTGTTATATTTTACTTGCCTTGTGCTTTTTTCTCAGTTTTTCTGTAAACTTGGGAAGTTTCTCTCTGTACTTGACAATTACCCAGGTTCAGGACCTGACTAAGAGAAAGTGGAATTTATTGACTTTACTGAGAAGTTTGGGGATAGTTTGAATCTGAAATTCTAAGAGTATAATCAGGCTACAGGCTGTTTTTACCTCTCCTGTTTCTTACTTTACCCTTAGCTTTGTTCCTGAGTTGTTGTTGTTACGTGTTTTTGAGCTGCCTGTGACTCATTGAAATCCTGTAAACAGTGGGTCTGAATCCTGCCCTGTCCTGTGCCATCCTCACCGTCTCTGACATACTTGAACCCATGGTTTCCATCACTGTGTCAGTTCATCTTGTTGAGAGTCTTCCTCCTTTATGCTGACTCCCCACCTTCTCCAAGAACTGGCCCTTCCTAACAATATGCATAAAGTATGTGAGACAAAGTTCCACCATCCTTGCTTCTAAGGAGCACCCTGGTTTCACTTTTCTGCACAACAGACCTGTTTTGCGTGAATAGTGACTGACCATATTTCTTCTGCAGAACTGCTGTGGAATCAAACTGCCTTTCTTTGGGGTGGTAGCACAGCTCTTTTACCCACTAGTCCACCAGAGCTGATTATTTTTGTTCCTAAGTACCCTCCCAAACACTGGCAGAGATGTAGCTAGTCAGTTCCTAGTCTATATTCGTAAGCTTAGCTGCTGCAGTGTGGAGAAAAAAAAATCTCCAAGTGGTTGGGCTTGTTGTCTGTGCCAGTTTTTCAGTCAGTGTGTGAGCTTGGAATAGAAAGAGTTGAGCTTTAGATCAGTCGCCTAGAGCCACAGGAATTAAAGATGGGAGAATTTCTGGAAGAAAAAGAATTTTGTTGCCAAGCTGAGAGATGTTTGGTAAAACCAGCAAACATTTAGTAGTCCTTTTTTTGTGCACTGATTTCCTGTGCTGTCTCATGTTTGTGACCTTTTCACAGACGAACAAAAGTGACTGTGTTCTTGTCCAACGTTAAATAACTAGCAAATACATTTCAGTCTAGTTTTGTTTAATGCCACAGCAGTGTCTTTGTAGAGAAGTGTCAGCGAATAACCTGAAGTTGTAGGCCCAACAACCTTCCTGAAACCTGCGTGCAGCCTGGAGTCTAGTTTACTTAATAGTAAAGTCATTAGAATTTGCATTCCACTCTATAAGATGTTAATGTGGAAGAGGTTTTATGATATTAATAAATATCATATGATATTATGAAAAATATTTTATGATATTCACCTGGTGAATACATTTGATCCTCAAAGGAGAGGAGCCCCCTTTATTTTTTCCTGAACCCTGCTGGCCGTGTCCTCTAATATGAGAAACCCTAACACTGGCCCAGACTGTACCTCTAGCTATTGCTGTTTGCACGAGGAATTCAGTGAGGGCCTGTTTAGGCCTCTTTTGCCTGACCTAGGTCATCAGACGTGCCGTGTGAGAATCATTGCAGAAATGTGTAAATGTGATATGATAGGTCAGAGAAGAAGATAGGTGGCAAATGAAGAGTAGGTACAGATGTTTTGATCCCAGCATTCTGTAATGGTCATTGCACACTGTCCTGTTTCTCTGGGTCTCAGCAAGGAGAGGATTTGTTCATGGACACAACTGGTCACACATCAGAACTGAGGACTCCTTAAAAATCAACTATGAGTTTATAAACTTGTTAAAAGTAGTCTTTCTGTAGAATATAAGTGATGATAACAGCTCATTCTTATAACCTAATATTGTCTTCTTATGAGTGCTATTTGTGCTATGTGCTCGAAGTTGAAGGCTATCTTGGAAGAGCCTCCAATATAATTGGGTATAATTGGTCTTTCAGTTGGAGGAAATCTCTTATGTTATCTTTCCAATGAAACTTCTGCCTTTCAGAGTAGAATGCATGATTATTGCCAATGATGCCACTGTTAAAGGAGGTACCTACTACCCAGTGACAGTGAAAAAGCATTTACGGGCCCAAGAAATTGCACTGCAAAACAGACTCCCTTGCATCTACTTGGGTAAGTAAACAAGAATTGGAATATAAACTGCCATTAGCTGATACAATGAAGACTGTTTAAGAAACTGTGCATGTTTAAGAAACTTAGTGGATTTTTAAAAAATGGTTTCTCCCATAATTACAATAAAAATGCATGTTCCCTGCTTAAAACTGGTGGGGTCCCACAGTGAGGTGGGGGAGGCCAAAATTTGCACCCATGCAAGAGAATGTGGCAATGTATCCCTGTTATAGAGGAGAACACAGAGGACCAGAGGGGCTGGCTGGTGCACAGGTCAGGCCAGTTGATGGAATATGACTAGTAGCCACAGTCTGAGAGCTTAACTGAGGAGAGGGTGGGATGATACCACACTAAGTTTTGTTCACAGAGATCCCGAAACTGCTGAAACTACTGGGCAGTGAGTAACTGGCCACTGCTCACAGCCCGAGGATTGTTCCTAAGAATGAGGAACAAAGCTAGAACGAGACTGATGCAGCAGCAGCATATAGAGTTTGCTGGGGTGGAAGGGGCCTCAGAGCCATGGCTTTCATCTCCCTGTCTGCTTAGAATGCAAATCATAAAAAAAAAAAAAAAAAAAGAATGCAAATCATTATATGGTGATGACAGCCAATCTTATTTTATTCGTACATTAATCTGTTCTTGTTAGGAAATATACCAATAATACAGATAGAGTCAATCCCACCCCCTAGTTTTTAAGGACATTTTGTATGGCAATACGTTTGAAAATTCATTTTAAATGGAACAATTTTCTAGAAAACAAAGTACTGTAAAACTGTTTTCAAAAACTGAAGGAGCACTTAGAAATCTTAAGAAGGAACCAGGCTCAAATAGTGTTTAGGTGAGATTCCAGAACACTTTCAAGGAACAGTTTTATATAGTCAAACTTTCTGGAGATTAGATATACTCAGAAATGGACAACTCATTTCAGGAGCCCTGAGATGGAGACAGGGCACACCAATAATAGATCACTTTCAGTATGAATGTAAAATTCTTAAATAAGAATAAGCACATAGAATAAAATAAATCAGTATGAGGTCAGTAAATAAAACTACTCAAACTGTCACTAGGAATAATTCTTAAAAACTGTTCTATGCAGATTTATTTTTCTATGTGTGTGAATTTATTTTTGAATATGTATTTTTTAGTGTCTGTTACATAATCTATGTAATTAAGGGAGCTCTCTTGTCCTACTGGTAAGGAGCTATGCTGCCAGCACAAAGGCAGGTGGTGTGAACTTACTAGCTTCACCCTCTGAGAAAGCTGGGTGATGTCTTCCCATGCCATCTGTTGCCTCTCAAAACCTGCAGGAGGAGGAGGGTCAGCCAGCAGTTGGTTCCAACACAATAGTACATAATAACAACAACAATAGTTATATAAATGGATAAATATAATTGAAGTAAATTTCATTTCAAATGAAATTAAAGTATTGAAATTAAAGTTCATTTAAGAGTTAAAGATATTTCAAAAAGAAAGCAAGGCAGTTTTAAAGTTGATACTGCCTGAGTATTGACCTGGTAAAACTCTTAATACATATCATTTATTATGCGGGTTTTTGGACAGGTATGCTGATCGTAGAGCCTTTTCTTCTGGGAAAGGGAATTTGCCTGATTGACTCACAGTGCAAACTACATTTCACGTAGAGGAAACATCCAATGAGACCCCGCTGTTTGTGGGTGGTGAACAAACACTGTCGGGGTGCAGTGAAGAGTATCATGGTAGATCTGTACTGAGCAAATTTGTAATGATTCGGAGCCAGATTGCCATGTTAAACCACAATAAAGAATTACAAATGACAGGTAACAGATACAGGATTAGCTAGCATTTTATATACTATGTGTTTTTATAGTCAGTACTAAGTGCTGCATGTGTTAGTTTGTCTCATCTGATGAGATGAAATTTCTGCTATCAGATAGCTACTTTTTATCTTCACTTCCCTGAGGAAGACCAGGCGTAGAAAAGTCATGAAGCCATTTTTTGGTCATGAAGCTCTGTTTTGAGCCTAGCTGACATTCTTGTCTATGACTATGATAAACTACAGTTAAAAACAGTATCAGAAGGCAATTTTGATAAATTGCCTCATGGATTCTTTGTACTGATTTAAATTTTTAGCTGGATGTGGGCTGTTAGAGCTGTTTCTCAAAGAAGAGAGTGCATTGAGAAACAGCTTTTGCGTAGATAGGAGAAATGTACCATTGACTTTGAACCTACCCATAGCTGCCCCTCTAGTGGGTTTGCAGAGGCAATAAATCACACAGGAGGAGGTTGCCCATCCTTCTGTGGAGCAGCTGGTAGACTTGAACCGCATGCCTTCGTGATTGTAGCACAGCTTCTTGCCACTAGGCCACCAGAGAACCTAGTAGGTGTAGGCTAAGCAGTAGATCTGTTTGACTACATTGAGGGATAGGATAAAGCTCTAAAATAGTCTGGAATGTTAGGTGCTTCTTGAGAATATGATTAGGAACTGATACTCCCACCAGTGAAAGTCTACCTGTGTATAGGCTGTTTTGTTCATTGAGCTATACTTATGCCTGCAATGCTTTTTGTTTTCAGTTGATTCAGGAGGAGCAAATTTACCCCGGCAAGCAGACGTGTTTCCAGATAGAGATCATTTTGGTCGCATATTCTATCATCAGGCAATTATGTCTTCTAAAAATATTGCGCAGGTAAGTTACCGTTAAGGAAGTGTACTGCTTTTTGATCCAGATGTCTTTACTGAACAGTTACTCTGGCATGAATTAAAAAAGAAAAACAATTTAATACAGAGTCTAATCCATAGAACGTGTCTTAAAGTTCATGGTTATTTGGAGTCTTTGGTTAAATTATGGCCTACTACTGTAATGTACTGTTGTTGTTATGTGCCATTGAGTCACCTGTGACTCCTATGGACTCTGTACAGTAGCTCTGAAGCGTGCCCTATCCTGAGCCAGTCTTACTGACTCCAACACATCTATCCCCATTACCCCAGTTACTGTGTTAGTCCATCTCTTCTGGACTTTTTTTTCCCCTGCACTGTCCCTCTACCCTTCCAAGCATGATGTCCTTCTCCAAGGGCCGGTCTCTCATAGTCATATGCCTAAAGTATGTGAAATAGAGCTTCAAAATCCTTGCCTCCAAGGAGAAACTTGGTTTCACCCTCTCCCTCATGATCAACTTATTTGTTCTCTTGGCAGTCCATGGTATGTTCAGTACTCCAGCACCACTACTCAAATGCATCGGTTCTTATTCTGTCATCGTTAGTCATTGTCCAGCTCTCTGATACATAGCAAATGATTGCAAAGAGCATGGCCTGAATCAGGCACATCTTAGTCCCTAGATTGACATCTCTACTCTTTAGCACTTTGAAGAGGTCCCTGACAACAGACTTCCCCAGTGCAATTCATCTTTCGATTTCCTGACAGCTGGTGCCAAGAATGTTGATTGTGAGGCTGAGCGAGCTGAAGTTAACAATCTATTATCCATCTATCGTAGTGCTGCCAGTTGGCCCAGTGGTGAGAATCTTAGTCTTCTTGATGTTGAGCTTCAGTTCATATTGAAGAAGCCCTTGACCTTCTGCAGCAAACACTTAAGGTCCTCCTCAGTTTTGGCAAACAGGGTTGTGTGTCATCTGCATATTGCAGGTTGTTGATAAGTCTTCTCCAATCTTGATGCAATATTCCTCCTCATAAAGACTAACCTCCAGAATGATCTTTTCTGCATAACGATTGAGAAAGTATAGAGGCAGGATGCATCCTTTATTCACTCCTTTCCTGGTTTTGGACCATACAGTGTTTCCCTGCTCTGTTCTGGCTACTGCTTCCTGGTCCAAGTATATGTTTTGTATGAGCACAATCAAGTGTTCTGAGGTTCCCATTCTCAAGGTTAGCCACAATTTGTTGTGATCCACACAGTTAAATATTTTTACATAGTCAATCAATAAAAAAGAAAACACAGACATCCAAAGAACGCATTTTAAAAACCTTTAAAGGATATTCGAGAATTCCTCTTCTAAGACAGTATTGTAGAGAAATTTTAGTACATATGTGAAGAGACAGATACAGAAGGTTGATTGTAGCATTGCTTGGATAGCAGATATTAAAGAACAGCCTAAATGTTCTATATCTTTACAGCTTTGAAAATGTAGACATATTCCTACATATCTTCCAGGCTTTGAAATAGTGAGGAATTCTTTTTGTGTGAAAGGAGAAAAGACACTTAAACTAGGAACATAGCTTTTTGTTCTCTTCTGTTTCACTTTCCTTCCTTTGTGGTATGCTTTAGGACTCCCTAAGGAGCCTTGGTTGGATAATTAGTAACCTGTTCTACTGCTGGGTTGCTGTCATAAAGGTCAGAGGTTCAAATCCAGCAGGTCCCATGTGGGAGAAATTTGGGTAGTTTCCTCCTATAAAGATCGTCAATGTTGGAAACCTGATGAATGGTTACTGTGAGTCAAAATTGACATGGCAGTAGTGACTTATAAAGTGCCTAAGAAGCCCTGGTGGTGTAATATGTTATTTATTTTGCTGCTAACCGAAAGGTCAGTGGTTCAAATCCACCAGAGAAAGATGAGGTGTGTTCCTCCTGTAAAGGTTTTACAGTCTCAGAAACGTGATGGAGGGCTGCCATGAATTTGAAAGGACCTGAGGGCCTCTGTTTGGATTTTGGTATGGAGCCCCAGGGCATGGTAAAATGATTGTGTGCTTAATTACTAATCTAAAGATTGGTGATTTGAATCCACCCAAGGACACCTTGGAAGACCACAGGACAGTGTTCCTTTATTTTTTTTAAAAAAAAAATTTCTACTAGTTTATTTACAAAATACAAATATATTGTTTTTAAGAACAAATTCTTTCAGTTTCCCTCACCCTGCCCCTATCAAATTGTACAACCCCTTGATTAATCCCTCCTCCCCCTGCACACCCTCATCCCTCTGCTTCCACCCACTCCCATCCCTCTTGGATCTTTATACTCGTTCTACAATAATGGTTTTATACAATGTTTGTCCTTGTGGGACTGAGTTCACTCAGCATAATGTTCTTCAGTCCCTCCCAAGTTAAGTAATAATTTATAAAATAATTTTCAATCCATTTGTTTGTGGTTGGACATTTGGACTGTTTCTATGTTCTTGTGATGGTGACTAATGCTACTATGAACATTGGTGTACATGTCTCCATTTGTGCCTCAGTTACAGGAGGAGATTGCCCCTCCTTCTCCAGCAGAGCATCTGGTGGATTTGAACTGTGTTCCTCTGGGATTGTAGTGTATCTTCTTGCCACTAGGCCACCAGCGCTTCCTGTGAAACACTTCTGAGAAACAAAAATGAGGTTGGAGTCATAGCACTCCCTGACCTCAAAACCTACTACACAGCAGTAATAACCAAAACAGCATGGTACTGGTACAATGCCAGGCACATAGACCAATGGAACAGAATTGAGAACCTAGAAGTAGACCCAGCTCTCGATGGTCAACTGCTATTTGACAAGGAAATCAAGGCTGTCAAATGGGGAAATGATAACCTCTTCAACAAATGGTGCTGGCAAAACTGGACTTCCAGCTGCAGAAAGCTGAAACAGGATCCACATGTCACACCATACACAGACATCAACTCAAGGTGGATCAGAAACCTGGCAGTAAAGCCTCAAACCATAATGTTCTTAAGAGACAAACTGGGATCAAGCTTAGAAGCGCTAGTCCAAGGTATAAAGACACTGCCAAATACAACCAGAAATGCTCAATCTCAAGAGTCTACAATTGATGCATGGGACCTTCTAAAGATTAAATCCATGTGTGCATCTAATCTTTTTCCAACAGGGTAAAAAGAAAACCAACAGACTGGAAACAAACAAACATTTGGTAATTCCATCTCAGACAAGAGTCTTATAACAAAAGTTTACGGAACACTCTTGGGCTTCCACAAGAAAAAGACTGGTAATCCAATTACAAAAAGGGACAATGTTTCTGAACGATCACAGCCTTAAAACCCTTTGGAGCACAGTCTGCTCTTATACACATGGAGTTGTCATAAGCTGAAATAAGCTCAATGGTAACTGTTTTTAGAGATTTTTTAATTGGTTTTCCAGGTTTTGAGTCAGAACCACCTCCTAGCTGACCCTCCACTGGGTTTCTGAGGCTGTAAATCACGTGGGAGGAGCTACTGGTAGATTTGAACTACTGGAGAGGCATGGTCAGCAGTGCAGTCACTGTGCACTGTGCTAACAGAGCTCTTTTTTGTAATTTAGTTTAATTTGTAGTTCTCATTTTTATTTTGCAATAATCCTTAGTATAAGAACACCAAGGTGTTTTTGCTTATAGTAACAGTGTTTTTCTAAAGTAGGCATGGTTTACCTTGCCATCTTTGTTTTCTTTTTTTTTGCCATCTTTGTTTTCAATTCTTCAGGTCTTTGGCTTTTTTTTTTTTAAAAAAATTTATTTTTATTTCCGTTAATTAATTGTTACACTTTTCTCCCTGCTCACCCCTCCCTTCCAGTTCCTTCTTCTCTTTGAAAAGTAAAAGAAAAAATTCTTTCATTGTTACATTTTCTCTCCCCCCCAGGTCCATTCCACTACGCAGCCTTTGTTCTGGACTCATGTCATCACAATAATACCTAATTATATATACTTTTAAGTGGTTCTCTCTCTTATTTGTTTCAATGCAGTATACGTAATTTATCCCATCTTTCTCAGTCTCCTCCAACCCCCCAGTCCCTATGTCAGTCTCGTTTTACAGCCGTGGCACTATGCAGTATTTGTCCTTTTGTGACTGAGATATTTCACTCAGCATAATGTCCTCCAGGATCATCCATTTTGAATAATATTTCATGAGTTCTTTGTTTTTCAATTCAGAGTAGTATTCCATTGTGTAACCATACCACAGCTTCTCTATCCATTCATTTGTTTATGGGCACTTAGGTTTACAAATCTTTGCTATTGTGAACAAAGCTGTGAAGCCTGCTCTGTCCTGGTCCAGTCTCAATAATTCCGACACGCTAACCCCCATTGCCCCATTTACTGAATACCATTATTTTAGAAATTTATTTTATTGGTTTTCTTGTTTCAGACCTTAGTCAATGTTTTCAGAGACTTAGGAAAAATCACATTTCTAATTTTTTTTAAACTCATTTCAGCCTGTCATGAATTTAGATGACACTTGGGCAGAAGATGAAATCACTTAGTTTAGTTGCTTCAAGATTGTTGATAAAAAAAGATTGAGGAAGAAACATATTGTTGTAGGAAAAAATGAACCTTTGATTTTATATGTCCATTTCATTCTACAGTTAGCACAGACAAGTGTAAGTACTTCAGAATCAGCAGTGTTTCTCAGTGTATTTGATAATGTGCTTAAATTATAGGTGGCTATTAAATTGATGCATATTGTATGACTTTTCTTTCTGAAGAGCAGCTTTTTAGGTACAGGTGAAAAATAATATAATGTAAACAATATGTGCTCTCCACAGTTACTTTGAGTTGAAAAAGAAGATGAGCAAATTTGATATTATATTTTTAATGGCTTTTCCCTTAGCAATTAAAATTCCCTCCCTCCCTTTAAGTTATATTGCATTCATTCCAGTATTCTTTGGAAGTGGCTAGTCTCTTACAGCTCCTTTTTCAATAGAGGTTTAGAGTTCACAGCTTTTCAGAATTAGGTAGAAAGCCTCTGGGTTCCCTTAGTCCTTTTCCATAGGGCAGGCTGCTGACCTATAGTATGTAATTGGGTTTTGGTGCAATGAGAAACAGTCTCTGTTTGTTCAGGCTAGACCTGAAGGGTAATGAAATTTTGTCTAAAGTTTCGCTAGACTATTAGCCTCTGTTTTCACATGTCCTATTATGCAAAATTTTGTTTGTTCTTTCTGTGGAGGTGATGACAGTGTTGTTACCATCGATTGCACATCACTTCTGCTGTCTTGCTCTTGATGCAAGTTTTAGAAACAGCGTGCACTTTATCACTCCAGCAATGGAATCCCTTGGGATGTCCACAGCACAGAGTGGGCCCACCTCACTGGTGGCCAGTGGGATACCCAGCCTACTTGCAGAGTTCTTTGGCATTTACTGTGTCCCGATGCTAGTGAAGGTCATTGTGTTGTCCCCCTGGCACAGTGCATAGAACTGTTTTCCCAAAGCCAGCCAGATCCGTGCTCTGAGTGTGGTCAGAATAATTTATGATCATGTGTCTTAGTCCTTTAATATCCTCTTAATATATATGCAGTAGATTTTCCTTTCTAGACTTCCAGATCATTTGGCCAGTGAGGTCTGTGTAAGAACTTTGCTACATAGCACATAAATGCTTTGTGAGCCCAGTTGTCACAAAACTTAGTGCCTTAGGGGAGCTCTGGTGGCCTAGTGGCAAGAAGCTGCACTACAATCCCAGAGGCGCACAGTTCGAATCCACCAGATGCTCTGCCGGGGAAGGAGGGACAATCTCCTCCTGTACCAGTCAGATCTGATTTGACGGTACACACAAATAATAAAAATAAAAAATAAGAAATTATAAAAAAACAGCAACAAAAAACTTAGTGGCTTGATGCAACATACACTTCTTATCTGATGTTTCTGTGGGTCAGAAGTCTGGGCACAGCTTGGCTGGATCCTCTGCACAGAGTATCTTACTGACTACAGTCATCTCCAGGCTCAACTTGGAAGGATTTGCTTCCTAACCCACTCATGTGGTTATTGGCAGGATTCAGTTCTTTTTGGACTGAGATCTAAGTTAGTTCTTCATGAGTTACTGGCCAAAAAGGCCTTTGTTCATTGCCATCTGTTCTTTCCATGGAGTGTCTTGAAACAGGCCAACAGACTTCATCAGAACAAGAAGGTGAGGACAAACGAATGTGTCAGTGAGAGCAAAAAGGTCAATCTTATTTAACCTAATCATGAAAGTAGTATCACCTCAGTTGTCATAAATTAGTGAGGTGTGGTGGGATAGTCCATAGAGAATTGCTTGATAACCCAAAGACTGCACACCTCTGGTGGTTCAATTCTACCAGTGGCTCCATGGAAAAAAGATTAATATTCTCTTCCTGTTATAATTTAAAACTTGGAATCAGAATGGATGGTGGCTATGAATTGGACTTGATTCAACAGCAATGATGTTAGTTTGAGGACTAAGGTATGCTTGTTCAGACCATAGTCTTTTCACTTGCTTTGCTGCTGAGAGCTGGACAATAAATAAGGATGAAAGAAGAAGAACTGATGCCTTTGAATTGTGTTGGAGAAGATCACTGAACATCCCATGGATTGCCAAAAAAAGACACTCCTGTACTTAACAACCTGAATTACTAATTGTTACTATTTCCTTTTAAAACTTTACATCATATTTTTTTAAAAGGAACATTTTACACATTTTATAATTTGTTTATTAATTTAAAATATTGTATTATAGACATTTAGGCTATTCGATGTTTTGGCTTTTCCCTAATTAGCTTGCTAATATTTTGAGTCGTTTTTGGATAATCTTCAGTAGAATCTTGCTTGCATGTGAAATCAATGAGATTGCTTTATAATTTCCACACTCTGTAGGGTCACCTTTCTTTGGGATTGGAACAAATATCGATCTCTTCCAGTCAATTGGCCACGTGGTTGTTCTCCAGATTTCTTGGCATAACTTGGTGAGCACGTCCAGGGCAGCATCTGTTAGCTGAAATATGTCCGTTGGTATACCATCTATTCCTGGGGCCTTATTTTTTGCCATTTCCTTCAAAGCAGCCTGAACTTCTTCTTTCATCACCATAGGCTCTTGCTCATATGTTGTTTCATGAAATTTTTCTGTGTCTGCCAATTCCTTTTGATACAGTGACTCAGTATATTATTTCAATCTTCTTTTAATACTTCCTGGATCATTTAATATTTTGCTGAAAGCATCCTTGATTATAGCAACTCAAGGTTTGAATTTGTTCTTCAGTTCCTTGAGCTTAAGAAATGCTGAGCGAGTTTGGCCCTTTTGATTTTCTAACTCCAACTCCTTGCACATTTCATTGTAATATTTTACTTTGTCATCCTGTGCTGCCTTTTTGAAATCTTTTACTCAACTCTCCATACCTTTTCAACCGGTATGCAGAACAGATTATCCGGGAGGCTGGGCTCAATGAGGAGAAGTGAGGCCTCAGGATTGGTGGATGATCTATTAACAATCTGTGTTATGCAGATGACACAACCCTGCTTGCTGAAGCTGAGGAGGACCTGAAGCGCTTGCTGCAGAGGGTGAAGGACTGCAGCCTTCAATATGGATTGAGGCTCAATGTCAAGAAGACAAAGATTCTCACCACTGGACCAACTGGCAAGATCAGGATGGATCTTGAAGAGATTGAGATTGTTTACAGCTTTAGTTTGCTTGGCTCCACAGTCAACATGCTTGGCACCAGTAGCCAGGAAATTAAAAGGTGCATTGCCATGGGAAAGTCTGCTGTTAGGGACCTCTCCAAAGTACTGAAGAGCAATGGTGTCTCTCTGGAGACTAAGGTGCCTCTGATACAGGCCATGGTCTTTGCAATCACTTGTTATGCATCAGAGAGTTGGACAGTGACCAAAGAGGATAGAAGGAGAATTGATGCCTTTGAGCTGTGGTGCTGGAGAAGAGTATTGAGAGTACCATGGACTGCTAGGAAAACAAACAGATTCATCCTGGAAAAGGTTAAACCAGGTGACTCCTTGGAGGCAAGGATTCTGAGGCCCTGTCAAACGTCCTTGGAGAAGGGCATCATGCTTGGGAGGGTGGAGGGACAGCACAGGAGGGGAAGACCTTCTATGAGGCGGGTTGATTCAGTGGCTGGGGAATCAGGATGGGTGTGTTGGAGACAGTGTGATTGGCACAGGACAGAGCAAAGTTCAGGGCTGTTGTACATAGGGTCACTATGAGTCGCAAGCGACTCTACGGCTCATGACAACAACAACGTTTTGAGCGGACAGGAATTTTACTTGTCCTTAAAACAAATTTCTGGGTGATAGCTAAGCAAAATAATGATAAAATATTTCTGTAATATGTTAATAAATAAATGTTACATCTTCTTTTGAAAATGTACATGGAAGCTTTAGTTAAGAAAAAAATACTTTTTGAGGTAGACTGTTTAGATGGAAAAATGCTAAAGTCACACTTCAATTTTTAAATTAATGATAGAGTGACATACTGTTTAAAAATAGCTATTTGAAAAAAATTTTAAAAATGGCTATTTGGATAACTATAAGGGAAGTTGATGAGATATTAGTATTAATAGCAAAATTTGCTTTCATGTAATCATTTTTGCAATTTCATAATATGCTTCTCTTTTTCCTTACTGATATTAATTATCCCTGTGTAGGGATAGTCAGGCACATCCTTGTTTATTGTTGTTTGTGTCATACTAATCTCTGATGAGTTAAAAACAAAAAACTTATTACAGAAAATTTCATACAGGCATAGAAGTAAAAAAATAGTATTGTAAACCCCCTTATACTCATTACCCAACTTCAGTACAATCAGTTTTTTTGACAAGATTTTAACTGCATTGATAGCATTACTTTTATTTTTAGAAAGTATTATATTTTTATTAAACATTTCATGTTAATAATGATTTCAGTTTTTCTATGCAGTAAGTGACAATTATTGGTTATAATTTAGGTTTTAACCTATCCTGAATACATTTCTCCCAAGTTGTGGGAGTACTGTGGGTTTCTATTCCCAGTTTTAGGCCAGTCGTCTGATCAACCTAGTCACTCTTTCAAGTGGAGATTGTCTAGACACTTATAAACTGTGATGTGAGGTTTTCAAAGTGATTTGATACATGGAGTTAGGGAACTGTTCTAAACATTGAGAAGACTTTGTTTTTAACATGCAATCTAGGGATCAGTTGACAATTTGCCATGATCACTGCAGAATTTGTGGGACTAGATCCATGGGTTGTTGAGTTCTCGGTGTGAGCTGTACCTCATATTTTGTTGTGTGCTTGAATTCCAGATAGCCGTGGTCATGGGCTCGTGTACGGCAGGAGGTGCCTACGTGCCTGCCATGGCTGATGAAAACATCATTGTACGCAAGCAGGGCACCATTTTCTTGGCAGGACCTCCCTTGGTAAGAACACAGTCTGGACTCCTGTATTTTAAATGTTCTGTACTGATCTTTTTGACAGAAAGTCTTCCAGTTTGGGCAGGTAAGAGTCCTAGTTGTCAAAAAAATTATTGATAGCTATATATACCTACCCTTGAATATGGATCATACTAATCATTAATAATAATGATGATATGAATAGTAATAGCTCAGGTGGTGTAAGGAGCTGCACTACCAACCTGAAGGTACATGTTTCGAGCCCATCAACTGCTTCATGAGAGAAAGATGAGCTGTCTCCTCTTGTGTGATTTACAGCCTCTGGAAACTTGCTGGAGGGTTATCTATGGAGCAATTCCTACTCAACCACAACCACCAGCACCCCTACCACCACTTTCATAATTATGTCCATGGAAGCCGTGGTCAAGAAAACAGTAACAGGAGCTCTGGTTCTTAGTGGCAAGAAGTTGCGCTACAGTAAAGACACATGATTCTAACCCACTAGATGCTCCTCTAGAGTAGTGGCAGTCTCCTCCTGAGCCAGTCGGATCCGACTTGATGGTACACAAGAATTGAAAACAACTAATTTCTACTAGGAAAATCTACTAGGAAACATATCTTTGAGATTTAAAAAAAAAAAATCAAAGATATCATTAGTCGTGGTGGTGCAGTGGTAAGTGTTTAGCTGCCAACCAGAAGTTTGGCAGTTAGAACCTACCAGCACTCACTTGTCATTCTGTGAGTGAAAGTCATGGGAGTGCACCTCTGTCGAGATTGCAGGATTGCAAACCCAGTGAGCAGGTCCGCTCTGTCTTGTGGGATTACTGTGAGCCAAAGTCAGTTCAGTGGCAATAAGTTTTCATTTTTGCTTTTACCCAACTATGTCTTTTTGGTGGCTTCAGATGCAAACAAAAGCTGAACAATTAAAAGGAAGACACTTGATGGATTTAAATTGCAGTGTTAATGACGAGTATTGACTTTTCTGTGGACTGCCAGAAGAATACAAAAAAAAAATCAATCTTAGAGGAAAGAAATCAGAATATTCCTTAAGAGTGAGGATGGCAAAGACTGGCTCACTTAACATTAGACATGTCATTAGGAAAACTCAGCTGATAGAAAACAACATTGTGGTTGGTAGATTAGAAAGCTGACAGGAGGGGATTGTCAGTGAGATGATGGACGCAGTAGCCACAGCAGTTGATGCAAACATACCGGTGATTATGGAGATGATAGAGGACTACACAGTGATCCCTTCTGCTAAATATAAAGTAGCTGTGCATCAGAACCCGTTCAGTGACCACTAGCAAAACAACAGTGTGATTTGTTCAATAAGAAATGAGACATTTCAAAGGAAAAAGGAAGTTCATTAATTTATTGCATCTTTCCATCAGTCATAATTCTAAATTTCCTTTCATAGCTGAATAAATTCATATACTGAAATTAAATCTCTTAACTTGCCTTAATCCTAGAACTAGACGATCTGATCTGATCTGCTGCTTTTAGATGCTGATGAATATAGTCCTTCAAAGTATCATACTTTTGAAATTTCTTATTCTTTTTAGTTTTTCAATTTCTTGCACTTGTCCCTTTCTTACCTGTTTAATAATTTTAGATTTTGTTTAATTAGATCTTTTGTTTTAAGGTGCTCTCATTACTCTGTCTTTAAACAGACTTGTCTTTATCGTGTTGATGTTCTAGACCATGCTATGACATTAAGCGTGACAGAATAATGGAGGAATGAATGCCTTACTGAGATTCACTGGAATAAAGTTGGAAGGAGGGGAAGGGCAGAAGAGACTAGAGAGACAGAATGTAGTCATTATGGCTGGCTTTATGAGAAAGTGACCTGAAAAGTTGTATAGGATCCTATTCTCAAGGTCCTTGTGTACTGTGGTCACCACCATTTTCAAATACTTAATAATTTTGTCTTTGACTTTTTGTTTTGTAAGTGAAGTCTGGCTTTGACTATTGCCTTTTTCTTCCTGGGGTGAGTATTTTCCTTCTTCCTGGGGTGAGTGTAAGCCAAATACCACATGCATCGTACATGGAGCTTGTATTCCCTTTGGGGTTAACATGTTCTCCGAGGGCTGGGAAGGTAGGCTCACTGGAGGCAGAGTTACCTGGGAAGTAGAGATTCCATGCTTGTGTGACAGTGATGTTACATATCAATGGAAAAGCACCAGGGGACCACAGAAGAAAAGAAAAAGCTTTGTATTTTGATGCCTTGAGTAGAACTTTTTCTGTGTTTTTTAAATAAGGAGCCCCACACTTTCCTTTTTCACTTATATCCACAATTATGTTGCTGGCTTTGCCAGTGACTTGTAAAGGTTACTGGTATTAGAAATTTAGAATATCTTCTCATAGTTAACTTTTATAACTAGTTCTTATATATTGGATTTTTTTTTAATCTATGCCCACTCTTACCCCATCTTTTCAGTACACACTGTTATTTTATATATTCTGAATCTTAACTTTTTAAATAAATATAGCATTCACAAGATTCACAATTTCAGAGCTCTCTGCCCTATTTTGTTCCCTTTCCCCAATTTCTAACAGCATTTATTATATTTTTTCCAGAATTAATTGATAGTTTCTGAGCATACTATTATATATTTTCCCCATCTCTCTTCATTTCACATTGAAATGAACCTATATGTACTGTCTTTTTAAAGCAGATAATGTGTGTAGTACACATTTTGTGTTCTGTACAGCCCCCTTAAGTGTAAATTTGCTGTGTGCAGTATATGTGTTAGAGGAATGTGCGATGAGTGCACAGGCATGGCCCAAAGGAGGCTGCCACTCTGGAATCTCAGAGAACCCCACTAAGTGCTGCACCCTCCATGGGCCGCCATGGCCACCTGCCTCCCTGAAAGCACCTGGAAGCTGTACAACTGCTTCAGTGGCTGGTACGAGTCTGGGACCAGAGCCTGCTGGTGCATGAGGAGGTGAAGCGTGGTGGACAGGTGCTGCGAGATGCTGACTGTGAGTTTGACATCTGTTTCACCTCAGCGTGATCTGGATGCTCTGGATGGTGCTGGACACCATCGACCACTTGTGGTTGCCAGTAGGGAGGATTTGGCACCTCAGGGAGTGACATTATAGGGGTCTGACTGGTCTCAATAAAGCAGAAACTGCTGCCAAGCATGGTGAGACCCTGGTAAAGATCTGGAGGCGGTCCTGTGATGTCTCACCACCACCGAAGGAGCCTGACCACCTTTTCTACAGCAACGTCAGTAAGGATCGCAGGCATGCAGACATGGCTGAAGACCAGCTACCATCCTATGAGAGTTTGAAGGCCCCTATTACCAGAGCCCTGCCCTGTGGGAATGAAGAAATAGTTCCTCAGATCAAGGAGGGGAAATGAGTGCTGATTTCAGCCCAAGGCAACAGCCTTCGGGCCTTTGTCAGACATCTGGAGGGGCTCTCTGAGGAAGCCATCATGGAGCTGAACCTGCCTGCTGGAATTCCTATTGTCTGTGAGTTGAACAAGAACTTGAAGCCCATCAAGTCCATGCGATTCCTGGGAGATGAAGGTTCACAAAGCCATGGAAGCTGTGGCTGCTCAGGGCAAGGCCAGGAAGTGAAGCCAGGCAGGCCAACTGCTGTCCTGAGGCGCACCCTCCCGGCCCAGCCTGTTCTCTGCGCTGCGCCCCTGCGCAGGTTACACTGACCACATCTGTAGGCTTCTTTAGTCATACCTGCAGATGGGGGGCCGGTGGCTCCCATTTCAGCCATTTTGTCTCCTGCCCACTCTACTTCTAGTTTAGTCAGAATGGCACCTCTGATCCTCAGTCACTACCTCTTTTGGACTTCTCATTCAGGGTTTTTGCTAGCAGTTTGTTTACTAAGGACCTATCTGAGTAGGGGATAGGGAGGAGCCATGCTGGGTATGACCAATAAAGGCAAGTAAGAGAGCCCAGTCCTGTTGTCAGGAGCCAGGGCCCTGTTTAGTTCAGGAGTCAGGGCACTCCAGTTATCCCAGGGGAGGTGAATGTAATCCACGTGCTTATTAAACAGTCCTTCCTCCCTGACCCCATAGAAGCTGGCTCTAGAAGGCTGGGATCAACCTTGAATGTTTATTTATTGCATTTTGTTTTACAAAATTAAAAAAAAAAGACAAAAAAACACTTCTAGGGTTTCTGATGGCAGTTTATATAAGAGTACCACATGAGGTCATCAGAAAAGAAGCCATTCCTCTCCCCGTGTGGGACAGGCTCCTTGACCTCTTAGAAGTTAGAGCCCATCCTGCTGTGTATTGTAGAATTCTTCCTCTGCACTGTTTGCAACAGTGAGATACCTATAGACCATGTCCAAATGTGTCTCTGCTGTGTTTTCTGATACATGTTCCAGTTGCTGGGCTGCACCACTGGGGCCCACTACCAAGTTTGAACATAACTAGAGTAAAATATTTTTTCCAGATCAGTGTATATAAAAAAGAATATGTATGTTATTTGTGTGGAAGTGTCATGTAAAACTGGAGTGAGCAATTTACTCTTTTCACTTAGTAATTCAGCAACTTTTTACTGACTGTGTTGAATATCATCTGCAGATAACATAGAAGAAACAATAAGTGGATTTATAATGCATCTGTCAAGACCGGTGAAGAATAGTCTTTTCAGCAAATTGTGGTGGGACAACTGAATAACCATATTGTACAAGAATGTTGGACCTTTTATGTTGTTGTATTGTTAGGTATTGGGTACCGTCAAGTTGAGTATGACTCATAGTGACCCTGTGAACAAAAGATCTGAACCCCGTTCGATCCTGTGCTATCCTCACATTTCTTGATATACAAGAGCCTGTTGTGACAGTCACCATGTCAGTCCACCTGGTTGAGGGTCTTCCTCTCCTTCATTGATCCTTCACCCTTCCCAGCATTATGTTCCTCTCCAATGAATACCCCCTCCTAGCAACATGCCCAAAGTATGTGATGGAAAGCCTCATCATCCTTGTCTCCAAGAGCACTCCAGCTGTACCTTCTCCAAGATGTATCTGTTTGTTCTTAGGCAGTCCATGGACTGTTCAGT